TTTGGCTTTCGGGCAAATTTTCGTCTGCTTGCAAGAGCGCAGAAATCTGTCGAGAAAATGAGGGAACTGTTTACAGCGAGGAAGAAGAGTGAGCCTGACCACTCGGAAGGAAAAAAAGCTGTAGGATTATGAAGAACAGGAGTAGGGAAGCGACGAGATTACTGCCGTGCAATCACTCATTTTATCCTCAAACTAAAATTGATGCCTGAAACGAAAATGAACTAATCTGCAGTTTGTTTGGCACGAAATGTGCACGCTGTGGCTTAGCGCTTCAGTCAACGGACTACGTGCATCGTGTTTTCGCGAGCATCTACCATGTACAATGCTTTACATGTTTCTTTTGCGGTCATTTGTTCAAGAAAGGTGACCATTATGTATTGGTGGACGGGCAAGTAATTTGCAGACCGGATTACGAACACTTACTGTGCCAGACTCCCATTTGCCAATCCCACTGTAAGTTTGTTTCGCTTCTGTTACTTTTTCTCCGATTTTTCAGGCACTGAGTGGTAAATCTTTGCTGGAATAGGTTTGTTAATATTCAGGACCAAGTTGTGACTACATTCACTGGTTCTTATCATAGCTTACTAACGACTGCATTGATGATTTCTGCTGATGGCTACATATTTTAGTGTTTTATGATCAAAACGATTCAAATCGAAAGACTCCCAAGAGGCCACGAACGATCCTCAACACCCAACAACGAAAAGCATTCAAGCTGGCTTTCGAGAAGACCTCAAAGCCATGTCGGAAGGTATTGTGTCGGTCAGCGTCGTGCTTTTTTGCTGTTAATTTATTCTAATTGTTAACAAGATTCTGGTGTCAGCATGGCAAAACTTTTTGCTTAGACCGTAGGGATTGGACGAAAGAAGGAGGAGGGAAATACTACTTCACAAATAGCACATAAGAAGATAATCTTTTCTATTTCATCTTTTTCATTTTTTATTACGCGTTTTTGCCTATATGCAAATTGCAAAAACGCATATTGAGACGACCCCGTCTGTGCGTGTGTGTGTGTGTATGTATGTG